CAACACTTTTTTTTTTTTTTTTTTAAAGACAGGGTCTCACTCTGTTGCCCAGGCTGGAGTGCAGTGGTGCCATCTTGGCTTACTGTTACCTCCACCTCCCAGGCTGAAGCCATCCTCCTGCCTCAACCCTCCTGAGTAGTTGGGACTACAGTCATGCACCAGATGTATTTTTGTATTTTTTTGTATTTTTTGTAGAGACAAATTTTTGTATTTTTTTGTAGAGACCAGCCAATTTTTGTATTTTTTTGTAGAGACAGAGTTTCATCATGTTGCCAGGCTGGTCTCCAATTCCTGGACTCAAGGGACCCCCCCCTACATCAGCCTCTGAAAGAGCTGGGATTACAGGTATGAGCCCAGCCAGCAACTGTCAAAACTATGGTACAGCTAAGATATATGCATTTCATCATATGTAAATTTTATCTTTCAAAAAAAACCCATAAACAAATGCCAAATTTTACTTAATGATATGCATGCTGAAGTTCTTTAGTGATGAAGTATGCTGATATCTGCAGTGATTTTTACTACTCCTCGGCGAATACTTGCAAGTAAAACTGTAAGGCTACTTACATCTTAGCGAGTATTCCCTGCAAGACCTGGTGTCTGCTGACTTTCCAACCTGAAGCTGTCTCCTCCACACCAGGTCTGTGAATCAGCCAAGCTCCCCCCAGGCTCAGGGCCTGGGCACCAAGGGTTCTGTGGCCCTGGAGTGCCACTTGTTCTCATCCCCTTCACCAAGTTCATTTCTACACGCCTTCCCAATTTGATAGGCTAGGAGAACCCTCCCGTACTCCCGGCTTGGATTAAGGCATTGTCCTCTTCTCTTTCATTGCGACTCGCATGGCACTTTCTTCCCTCCTCACCGCAGTTCATAGTGACTCATTCATCAAGTACTCACACACATACAGACCTTCTTCATTAGGCTGTTAAGGGGGTCAAGACTGCTTTGTTCACAACTGTATTCCCTGTACTGGCTTGGTGACTGGCCCATCAATAGGTAGGCATTCAAGAGAAAGTTTGTTATGTAAATGACTACAAGGCAAATTAGAATATGATTTTACTTCCTATGTGAAAGACAGGAAGCCTTTTTATTTTTATTTTTTGAGACAGAGTCTTGTGGCTTATTGCAACCTCTGACTCCCTGGTTCAAGCTATTCTCCTGCCTCAGCCTCCCGAGTAGCTGGGATTACAAACACCCGCTATTGCGCCCAGCTAATTTTTGTATTTTTACTAGAGATGGGGTTTCAGCATGTTGGCCAGGATGGTCTTGATCTTCTGAATTGGTGATCCACCCACCTCTGCCTCCCAAAGTGCTGGGATTACAGGTGTGAGCCACCGCACCCGGCCAAGACAGGCAGCTTTAAAGAATTGGCAATACTCCCAAGGTGCAGTGGCTCACACCTGTAATCCCAGTACTTTGAGAGGCTGAGGTGGGAGAATGGCTTGACAAGAACAAGGAGTTAGAGACTAACCTGGGCAATATAGGAAGACTCCTGTCTCTACCAAAAATTAAAAGGTTAGGTGGGTGTGGTGGCATATACCTGTTGTCCTAGCTTCTTGAGAGGCTGACACAGGAGGATTGCCTGAACCCAGGAGTTCAAGGCAGTAGTGAGCCATAATCATGCTGCTGCACTCCAGCTTAGATGACAGAGTGAGGCCCTGTCTCTATGAAAGAAAAGAAAATTTTAAAAGGCCGGGCATCATGGCTCATGCCTGTAATCCCAGCACTTTGGGAGGCTAAGACAGGTCAATCACTTGAGCCTAGGAGTTTGAGATCAGCCTGAGCAACATGGCAAAACTCTGTCTCTACCAAAAAAAAAAAAAAATTAGGCTGAGATGACTGGATTGCTTGAGCCTGGGCAGTTGAGGTATGCTCCAGCCTGGGCAACAGAGAGAGACCCTGTCTCAACAACAGCAACAAAAAAAGAATTATCAATATTCAGTATTAGGTGAGGGCATGGAGAAACAGACACTTGCCCTCACTGCTGGAGGAAGTATAAATTGGTATGGTTTGAAGTACCTGTTTATTTTTTATTTTTTGAGACAGAGTCTTGTTCATTACTCAGGCTGGAGTGCAGTGGCACAATCTCAACTCACTGCAACCTCTGCCTCTCAGGTTCAAGCGATTCTCCTGCCTCAGCCACCCAAGTAGCTAGGATTACAGGTGTGCACCACCAGGCTTGGCTAATGTTTGTATTTTTAGTACAAACGGGGTTTCACCATGTTGGCCAGGCTGGTCTTAATCTCCTGACCTCAAGTGATCCACCTACCTCGGCCTCCCAAAGTGCTGGGATTACAGGCGTGAGCCACTCACCGTGCCCTAAAGTACTGGTTTAAATGATCAGTGTTTTTACCTGTTGATCTAGCAGTTTCATACTTGGACATTTCTTCCACAAGGCACAGTAGCACAACTATGTATCTGTATCACAGTGCTTTTGTAAGATGCTGGAAGTATTGAAAAACTGGCAACAACTTACATACCTTTCAAGAGGAGGCTGATAAACTACAGGCACACCTATAAAATGGAAATTCTATACCATGAAACCATTATAAAGAATAAATTTGCTAGTGCAGTGGCTCAGGTCTGCAATCCCAGCACTTTGGGAGGACAAGGTGGGTGGATCCCTCGAGTCCAGTAGTTAGAGATCAGTCTGGGCAACATGGCAAAACCATCTCAACAAAAAATACAAAAATTAGCCGGGCTTGGTGGCAAATACCTGTAGTCCCAGCTACTTGAGGGGAGGGGGCCAGGTAGTGAGGCAGGAGGACAGCTTGAGCCTGCATTGAACTGCATTGAGCCAAGATCACCCCACTGTACTCCAGCCTGGTGACAAAGTGAGACCCTGTCTCAAAATAATAAAAATAATAAAATAAGATTAATTCTAGTATACTGATAGGGAATGATGACTACTAGGAGCTAGACCATTGCAGAAATGGGTGAAGTATAATCCCATTTTTATTTTTACAAAATCCTATGTAATCCTACACAATTTAACGCAATTTAAAAGTATAGTTTTGTTTTTTGTTTCTTAAGGAATGGGGGTAGGGAGCAAACCAAAGTGTTGATCAGGATTACCTCCTAGAGTAGGGATGGGAAGCAAGGATTTCAACTTTCCTTTTGTCTGTTTCTCTCAACTCCTTAAAAGAAGCAAGTCTTATTTTAAAATAATGTCAAATATAGGAAACTCTGGATTCTTTGCAAAACAAACCTCTAAGATAAGGTTTGATATTGCTTCTGCTAAAATAAAGCTGCGACCCTTGAGTGCATGAAAAAAACGGCCCCAGAGGACCTGCCACCCATAGACCACCCAAGTGTCCCAGTCATTCTTGAAATCCCACCGGTGAAGCCCAGGAGGAAGGTACAGCGAACGCTAGTGAGTCTAGGAGCTCTAGGATGAGCACGCCTCCGGAAGGAAAACGGCAACAGAATGTATTCTACTTTTCCAGTAAACGATCCTTCCACAGAGACACTTGATACAAGATTCGACGGGCGCTTTTCACTTTTTCGATCTGTTGGCCAAGATCTTATCACCTCCAAACAAGGAGACAAGGAAACCCTGGGCTCTTGATCCTATTTCGATTGAGAAAACAACGCGCTCCTTGGGAAGCGAAACGGGGCTGGCCGCGAGCAGCGCGGAACCACGCGAAGGCGTCGGGGCGGGCAGGCGCGGGGACCAGGGAGACCCGCGGCGGCAAAGGGGGCGAGCGGGTGGCGGGGCACGCGGGGAGATGAGGCTGAGCTCATGCCGCCCGCGCCCCCGATGGCCGGAGTCCCGCTCCTTCCTCCTCTCTTGCAGCCCCGCCGCGTCCTGGCGAAGGCTGCAGGGTCTGATTTCCTGCACCTACAAAGGGTCGCCCTCCCGGCTGCGGCCGCTCTGATGATCCGGGCCCCGGCCTCCCTACCCCGCCAGCTTTAGGGACTCCGGCGGCGTCTCTTAGCCGGGTAGATGTTCCTCCTTTCCCTCCCTCCTCCAAGCCGCTGCCAGGCCGGGGGTGAGGCTGCACCTCGGTCTTCATCTCAACGGTCGCGCCTGGGGCGGGTCTCTCCCCATTCAGCTTAGAGGGAGCAGCGGCCGGGCTGGCGGGGCTGGGGGGCGGGGGTGCGGGGAGCGAGGAACCCGGCCCTGCTTACTCGGCGGGACCGCGTTTCCCCCACCCTCGGCGCTTCCTTCTGTGAATGTGAATGGAACTAAATGCTCCTTTCTCTCCCTCAATGGCCGGCCAGGGGAATTCAAATGCGGTCTTGGGGAGCTCGGTATGGGTCTGGACCTTGGTTTTCAGAGCCTGCGCGTCCAAGGTCGCGAGTCTTCCCCGAGGGAAGTGACAGCTGCGGCGGTGCGGGAGGCCCTTCCTCGGTCGTTGAAAGCCACTTAAGGAATAAGGGCCGCCGAGAGAGCAAAACGACCACCCGAAACCGCGGAAGTGTTGGGGGTGCCGGGCCCAACACGCCCACGTGTCACCGCCGGGGACTCACGAGGAGCCTCTTCCCAGCGCTCAGGGGGGTGCCCGCTTTGTCCCCAGGTGTCAGGAACCGACGCCCACCAGGTGCACCAGCGGCTCAGACGCCGCCTTCGGGCGGGCTGGGCTTCTCCGAACTGGGAGCAGAGAGTAAGGGGCTCGACCCAGGACGCGAGTCCTGCCTTCTAGGCTCGGGTTCATGTGCGCGCGGAGGGGCGTATCTGGGGGCCCTGGGTAGGACACGTGTCCGGCTTTTAGCTCCCCGACTCCGTACTCCTGGAGCGGCAATAGTGCCGGCCCTGAAAAGCCAGCAGCTAGCGCTCTCCAACAGGGTCCCGGGGAGCGTTTGGAGAACTGATGAGTTAAGTGCGCGACCCCAGGGGACAGGGGTGACGAATCGAGAGTCCGCCAATGGCTGCGGTGGGCGGGGAGAAGACGCCGCGGGGATCCGCGTGGGCCGGGTCCCTTCCCCACCCTCGCCCTCTGGATGCCCCGCGGCCCCGCCCGCCCTCTTAAACCTGGCTCAGCCCTCGGGGCCCGCCCGAAGTCTACCGAGCCCGAGTGGCCCTGCAGCGTCCTGGAGGTGTCTGCTCCGCCGCAGCGTTCTCGGAGGTTGTGTCGGAGGTAGGCACAGGGCAGGGCGCGCCTGGGGCAGGGCGCGCCTGGGGCAGGGGACAGTGGTCTTCTGGGGCCGCTGGGGAGGGCGGGCAGCAGTCGCTGGCGCAGTTCGTTTTGGATGCTCGTTTTGCCTCACGGGAGCTTTGAATCCCAAGTTGCAGATCCCTGAGGTCGGAGGAGGCCGAGAGCGGGGCGCCTTTGGAGGATCGGGAGGAGACTGGCTGCTGCCTGCGTCCTGGCTGACCTCTTCTCCTGACCCCGTGTTCTTTAATTTCTGAGTCACGACCCTGGTTGGTTTTCTTATTGGGCTCATTGATCTCAAGACCGGCCGGCCCTGAAGGGGCTTCATTCTTCAGCCTCGGTGAACTTGCTGCCTGTCCATTAAAACGCCATCCTTTCCCGGCGGCGCGGGGGCGGAAGGACAGGCGGTCGCCGGGGCTCTTCTCTCCCATCTGGCCGGGGCCCGTCCAAGCGGCTCCGGAGGGGCGACCCCAGGCCCGAATAGTCCTGGTAGAATGACTGGAGTTTCCGAGGGACCGAGGGAAAACAGGGTTCTGGAGGCGCATCCTAGGGCAGCAGACGGCGGCGCGCCCTTCCCTTGCGGGCAGTCAGGGCCGCTGGGCCGGAGCAGGTCGCGGGGTCCCTGGACCTGCCAGGTGGCTCAGGGAGCGTGTCTCCATCTGCGGGGCGCGACCCCGGGTCGTCGGCTCTTCCCTCCCAGCTGAGGGCCCAGGAGCGCCTGAAGCTGTCGCCCGCTCCATTGCCCTCCCGCCTCCTGAGCTCCGCTCCAGACCCAGCCTCGGGGTTGGGAGGGCCCTGAGGCTCAGACCCTGCAAAAGAGTTTTGTTGGGCGGAGAAGAAGGAAGGGTTGGGCCGCGAAGAAGGAAGGAGAGGGAACTTCAACGGGTTTTGCTGGAACCGGGTTGGGGCCGAAAGCGGAGAGCGGGTGTGTGGAAGCAGCCGGGCTTGAGGAAGGGAAGACCGAGGCGACACTAACCTGGAATTTAGAGTCAGGCGGGTTCCCGGCAGATTTTCGTTTGGGGCTTTTTGTGTTTGCTTCTATTGCTGTTTTTTCGTTTTGTCTTAATTGCGGGAGAGGGTTGGCGGGATCCGACTGAGGGGTTTAGCCTTTTCCCTTGGGCCCGGGGCTGGCTCTGGTGGAGGGAGCAGGCCGGGAGGTGCGGGCTGGACCCCGGGCAGGGCCCGCGCGGTGTCGTCAGCGGTGCCCGCTTTTCCGCAGAGCCTCCTAGCACGCGGGCCCGGGATGGCTCTTCCCCGGCCAGGCGAGGCCGCCCCTCCGGACAAGGTGTGCTACCCCCCCGAGAGCAGCCCGCAGAACCTGGCCGCGTACTACACGCCTTTCGCGGCCTATGGACACTACAGAAACGGCCTGGCCACCGCGGAGGAAGACTTCCAACCCTTCCGGCAGCTGGAGGCCGCCGCGTCTGCTGCCCCGGCCATGCCCCCCTTCGCCTTCCGCATGGCGCCTCCCGTGCTGAGCCCGAGTCTGGGCCTACAGAGGGAGACTCTCTACGATCTGCCCTGGTACGGCAAGCTGCCACCGTGGTACCCAATTCCTCACGTCCCCAGGGAAGTGCCGCCCTTCCTGAGCTGCAGCCGCGAGTACATGGGGGCCAGCGGTGAAGATCTGGGCCACCAAATCACTGGTGGCCGCAACGAGAGTGACCCGTGTTGTGGACCCGAAACTTTCATTCCACCGCCCCCTGTGGATGCCTCTCTGTTACCTGATGGGCTGAGGACTTCGCAGTTATTACCTTGCTCACCAAGCAAGCAGTCTGAGGATGGTCCCAAACCCTCCAACCAAGAGAGGACGTCGCCTGCCCGGTTCCACTTCACGAAGGAAGATCTGCACTTCGTTCTATACGGGACCACTCCCAGCCTGGAGCACCCAGCCAGCCTGCAGCATGCGATTTCAGGGCTCCTGGTCCCCACAGACAGCTCTGGTAAAGGGAGCCCACACCATCTGGGAGTTGAATTGGATGGGAATGCACGTGGGAGCAGCGGGAGTGGGAAAGAGGCACTTCCAGGTGGAGCTGAGTGTGTAGAGCGTGTGGGGGAGAGGTACCTCCGTGAGAGCCAGGGTCGGCTAGGCTCACTTCTGAGGCCCTGATTGCTTAACTGCATGACCAAGGTTGGTTTCAGTGAGAGCTAAGGACCAAGAGAGAAATGGTTCATGCAGTGAACTCCCACGCGGGTTCAGATTCTGTGGTAACATGCAATGACAGCCTTCCAGCAGTTCACACCTAAGAGTCCCCTCTCAGCCAGCTACCTTTACCTCATTCAAGCATTAACTCCGATCCTCAAATCCCTTAAATTTGCCTAATGGGGTTAATTACATAACCTTGCATGAGGCTGTTCTGAGTTTCAAATGAGAAATTGTGTATGGAATTGCATAGAGTGAGATCGTAAATGGACAGCTCATGTAAAATGAGGATGGAAAAATAGAAATGACAAATAAACATCAAACTGGGATGATGGCTACCTCTAGGGAGTTAAGGAGGAAAACGCCTTATAAAAGCACTTCATAATACATTTCTAACGAAAAACTGTTTAAAACTGCCTTTTGCTAGGATCTGATTCTCCTCCGCAAACTCTGGATAAAGACTCCCTTCAACTTCCAGAAGGTAGGCAGAAGTCCTTGCGCGAATTTCTTCCCTGAACTCACACAGAGTCACCCTCCTCATTCTTTCCTGCCTGGGCTTTCCCCCAGGTCTGTGCCTCATGCGGACCGTGTTTGGTGAAGTCCCACATTTCGGCGTGTTCTGCAGTAGTTTTATTGCCAAAGGAGTCAGGTTTGGGCCCTTTCAAGGTAAAGTGGTCAACGCCAGTGAAGTGAAGACGTACGGAGACAATTCTGTGATGTGGGAGGTAAATCTGTTTCTGGTGGCTGTGCTGCTGAAAGTGGGGCGGGAGACGAGGAGGGGAAAGCCTTGGCCTTTGCCACTCTGGGAGAGTCCTGGTCAGAGAGAGGGGACATCCAGGGCAGATATCTGGGGCTTGTTCCCTGTAAAGGGAAGGAAGGGCTAGTGTTTGCTCCATGAGGTTAGCACCTCTGCATGAATTCTGTGTTTTGCGGGTGCCTTAGGTCATTTTAGTCTGGAAGATTAGCTATGGAATAGACATTTAAAGAATCAATACATTATATTATATTTATAGACAAAACCAAATGCTTTAGATATTATAGAGTGCTGAAAGTTTTAAAATTCAATATTGGGCCGGGCACGGTGGCTCAAGCCTGTAATCCCAGCACTGTGGGAGGCCGAGGCGGGTGGATCACGAGGTCAAGAGATCGAGACCATCCTGGTCAACACCGTGAAACCCTGTCTCTACTAAAAATACAAAAAATCAGCTGGGCATGGTGACGCGTGCCTGTAATCCCAGCTACTCAGGAGGCTGAGGCAGGAGAATTGCCTGAACCCAGGAGGCGGAGGTTGCGGTGAGCCGAGATCGCGCCATTGCACTCCAGCCTGGGTAACAAGAGCGAAACCCCGTCTCAAAAAAAAAAAAAAAAATCAATATTATTCTCTTATAAAATTAGTCAAGGATTTAAAAAAAAACAACAACAGATACTCTTCAAGATCTAGTGATGATATATTAGGGACATGCTGGTGGGACTGCAGTTTGTCACCTGCAAGAGAAAACCATTTGTCAGAATGTATCAGATACCTTAAAATGCTCAAAATCCCTTGACCTTGAATTTCTACTTCTAGAAATAGAGTATAGGAAAATAATCTGAAATCAAGGCTATGTGGTATATGTTAATTCCAGGGTTGTTTATAATAACAAAACATTGGAGACAGTGAAATTGCCAGCAGCAGAGAAATAAATAATTTTTCTTTTTTTTCCTTCTTGAGATAGAGTCTCTGTCTGTTATCCAGGCTGAAGTGTAGTGGCACGATCTCAGCTCACTGTGACCTCTGCCTCCTAGAAATTCTCCTGCCTTAGCCTCCCGAGCCGCTGGGATTACAGGCATGTGCCACCATGCCCAGCTAATTTTTGTATTTTTAGTAGAGATGGGGTTTCACTATGTTGGCTAGGCTGGTCTTGAAATCCTGATCTCAGGTGATTCTTCCCCCTTGACCTCTCAAAGTGTTGGGATTATAGGTGTGAGCCACCACGCCCAGTCTTGAATGAAATCATTTGTAGCTCCATCAATATGCGTGAAAACTAAGTGGGGGTAAAATCAAAACTGTTGTGTTTAAGTGGTGGAATTCACTGTAACCTTTTGGTTTCACTTACCTCTGCTTACGAAATTAACATATGCTCACTACAGAAATTTGGGAAGCAAGAAAGTGATAAAAGAATCTTTAAGAATGAATCACATTAGGCAGGCTCAGTGGCTTACACCTGTAATTCTAGCACTTTAGGAGACCAAGGTGGGAGGATCACTTGAGCTCCGGAGTTTGAGGCCAGCCCAGGAAACATAGTAAGGCCCTGTCTCTACAAAAAATTTTTTTAAAAAATTAGCCAGGTGTGATGATGCATGCCTGTGTAGTTCCAGCTACTCAGGGGTTAAGGTGGGAGGATCACTTGAGTCCAGGAATTCGAGGCTACTGTGAGCTGTGATTGGGCCACTGCACTCCAGTCTGGGCAATAGAGTGAGACTCTATCTCTTTACAAAAAAAATGTGACATTACCTAGAGAGATGTCCTTAAACTAACAAATCTACATTGGTGTTAGTAGATTTATAAACTACGTGTAATGATGTAGAAATCTGAATAATAGGCTGGGCGCGGTGGCTCATGCCGATAATTCCAGCACTTTGGGAGGCCGAGGCGGGAGGATCACCTAAGGTCAGAAATTCAAGACCAGCCTAACCAACATGGAGAAACCCATCTCTATTAAAAATACAAAAAATTAGCTGTGCATGGTGGTGCATGCCTGTAATCGCAGCTACTCAGGAGGCTGAGGGAGGAGAATCGCTTGAACCCAGGAGACGGAGGTTGCGGTGAGCTGAGATTGTGCCGTTGCACTCCAGCCTGGGCAACAGAAACTCCCATCTCAAAAAAAAAAAAAAAAAATCTGAATGATAGAAGTCTATTTGGTGGACTCAAATGTGAGATTTGGGTTATAAGTTCTTCAAAGTTCATTTTGTAGATTCAAAATTAAAAAGTACAGTACAAACTTCATGTCTTACTTCATTTAGATCTTTGAAGATGGTCGTTTGAGCCACTTTATAGATGGAAAAGCAGGTATGGGGAATTGGATGTCCTACGTCAACTGTGCGCGCTTCCCCAAGGAGCAAAACCTAGTTGCTGTGCAGTGTCAAGGGCATATATTTTATGAGAGCTGCAAAGAGATCCACCAGAACCAAGAGCTCCTTGTGTGGTATGGAGACTGCTATGAGAAATTTCTGGACATTCCTGTGAGCCTTCAGGTCACAGAGCTGGGGAAGCAGCCATCTGGGCCCTCTGAAGGTGAGTGCTCATCTTGTCTCACCCGGTGAGGGCATCCCACTAGAAGGACTGGGCTCTTTTCCACAAACCCTCCGTGTGCAGCTCCTCTCCCACAAAGGCTAATGCAGAGGATGAAACACGGGGGTCTCTAACCAGGGGGCGTTACCCAGGTGAAGAAAAGCATTCTCGGCCGGGCGCGGTGGCTCAAGCCTGTAATCCCAGCACTTTGGGAGGCCGAGGCGGGTGGATCACGAGGTCAAGAGATCGAGACCATCCAGGTCAACATAGTGAAACCCCGTCTCTACTAAAAATACAAAAAATTAGCTGGGCATGGTGGTGCGTGCCTGTAATCCCAGCTACTCAGGAGACTGAGGCAGGAGAATTGCCTGAACCCAGGAGGCGGAGGTTGCGGTGAGCCGAGATCGCGCCATTGCACTCCAGCCTGGGTAACATGAGTGAAACTCCGCCTCAAAAAAAAAAAAAAGCAAAGAAAAGCATCCTCAACTTCCCAAGGCTGTGGAAGCTGCTCCTATTCATAAAGATACCTGTTCTTTGGCCAGGCACAGTGGCTCACGCCTCTAATCCCAGCACTTTGGGAGGCTGAGACAGGCAGATCACCTGAGGTCAGGAGTTTGAGACCAGGCTGACCAATATCTAGAAACCTCATCTCTACTAAAAATACAAAATTAGCCAGGCGTGGTGGCGCATGCCTGTAATCCCAGCTACTTGGGAGGCTGAGGCAGGAGAATCGCTTGAACCCAGGAGGCAGAGGTTGCGGTGAGCCGAGATTGTGCCATTGCACTCCAGCCTGGGCAACAAGAGCAAAACTCTGTCAAAAAAAAAAAAGATAACCTACTTTTCCTCCCACCCCAAGAATAAAAGAAAGTGAGATAAATGGATGTAACCTCTGCCGTGGTGAGCCAGTTTCTGATTCATCTCTGCCCAGGCTAATGTAGCTGAAGTGAAATCACTAGAGCCGTGTTTTTCGAGTGGCACGTTGCAGAGTTGCATGTCTTAGTGGGGTGGGAAATCAATTCAGTGGCTGAGACCCACATTTCTTAAAAAAGAGAATAAGCATAGAGTAGAATAGAAAATATTGATGGGAATCACTTAAGAGTAAGCATTGTGTGAAATTTTTATTTCACATGGGGATGTGTATGTATGCTGGGTGTAGGCAATATAAAATACATTGCCTACTATGGGTCTCAGGCAAGTTGGAGAAATATTGAGCTGGACTCTCACTCTCAAACTTTATGTGGGAAGGAATACCTGGGGAACTTCACAATGCTGGTTCTCATTCAGGGTAGGGGCCCAGAATTTGGTATTTTTATCAATTTCCAGGGAGTGCTGCTAGTCCTGGTCCCTGGACCACAATAGAGTAGGAGGGAGCTAGAGAGCCACCAGCCCACTCTAGAGACGGTGGAATTTGCATGTTAAATAGCTCTCCGAGTGATTTCTAGATACACTAAAGTTAACTTTAGTGTATCTAGAAATCACTCGGAGAGCTATTTAACATGCAAATTCCACCTAACTTGTTAGGTGGGACGAGATAAATGTAAATCGCTGTAAATAAGAGAGAGGGCAGGCCTGGCATGGTGCCTCACGCCTGCTATCCTAGCACTATGGGAGGCCAAAGTGGGTGGATCACTTGAGGTCAGGAGTTCAAGACCAGCCTGGCTAACATGGGGAAACCCTTCTCTACCAAAAATACAAAAATTAGCCAGAGGTGGTGGGAGGTGCCTGTAGTCCCAGCTGCTAGGGAGGCTGAGGCAGGAGAATCATTTGAACCCAGGAGGCAGAGGTTGCAGTGAGCCAAGATCATGCCACTGTACTCCAGCCTGGGCAACTGGGCGTGGTAATCCTGTAATCCCAGGATTTTGGGAGGCTGAAGCAGGCAGATCATGAGGTCAGGAGTTCAAGACTATCCTGGCCAACATGGTGAAACCCCATCTCTACTAAAAACACAAAAAAATTCTCTGGGCGTGGTGGTGCACCCTTGTAGTCCCAGCCACTGGAGAGGGTGGGGCTGGAGAATTGCTTGAACCCGGCTGGGAGGCAGAGATTGCAGTGAGCCAAGATCACACCATTGCATTCCATCCTGGGTGACACAGAGTGAGACTCCGTGTCAGAAAAAAAAAGAAGTGAATTGCATCTGCATGCCTGTTTTGTTTTCCTGCTAGACTGAGATGCTTTGGGGCAGGTAATAACCCTAAACATCTTAGTATCTTCTGCTCCTGGATCCCAGTGTGTACCGAATGTGAGGAAGACGTTAGAATTAAATTAGGAAAAGCTGCTTAGGGACGAGATGAAATAAGGCACGGGTAAGGCAGAGGGAGTGCAGTGGTGTGATCTCTGCTCCCCGAAACCTCCGCCTCCTGCCTGCCTCAGCCTCCTGAGTAGCTGGAATTACAGGCATGCACCACCACACCTAGCTAGTTTTTGTATATTTAGTAGAGACAGTTTCACCATGTTGGTCAGGCTGCTCTTGAACTCCTGGCCTCAAGTGATCCTCCCACCTTGGCCTCCTAAAATGCTGGGATTACAGGCATGAGCCACCATGCCCCGCCTTTTTTGAGAGATGTTTTCACCATATGTATTGAATTATTACCATGTTTATAACTTTGATGTCTCAGTAATACTCTTCTGGAAATTTATTATTGAGAAATAGTCTAAAAGACAAAAGCTATGCTTACGAAGATTTGTAACTGTGGCACCACGTGTGAGGAAAAATCACAAATGACCTAAATGCTCAGTAGTATAATAATGAAGTAAATGATGATGCAGGTTCAGCATCCCTAATCAAGAAATCCTAAATCCAAAATGCTCTAAATCGAAACTTTTTGAGCACCAACATGTTGCCAAAAGTGGGAATTTCCACACAAAATTACTTACCACAAACTTTGTTTCATGCACAAAATTATTTAAAATATTGTGCTATTGTGGGCTGGACGTGGTGGCTCGTGCCTGTAATCCCAGTGTTTTGGGAGACTGAGGTGGGCAGATCACCTGAAGTCAGGAGTTCAAGACCAGACTGGCCAAGATGGTGAAACCGTGTCTCTACTAAAAATACAAAAAAATTAGCTGGGGCCGGGCACGGTGGCTCAAGCCTGTAATCCCAGCACTGTGGGAGGCCGAGGCGGGTGGATCACGAGGTCAAGAGATCGAGACCATCCTGGTCAACATGGTGAAACCCCGTCTCTACTAAAACTACAAAAAATTAGCTGGGCATGGTGGCGCGTGCCTGTAATCCCAGCTACTCAGGAGGCTGAGGCAGGAGAATTGCCTGAACCCAGGAGGCGGAGGTTGCGGTGAGCCGAGATCGCGCCATTGCACTCCAGCCTGGGTAACAAGAGCGAAACTCCATCTCAAAAAAAAAAAAAAAAAAAAAATTAGCTGGGTGTGGTGGTGGATGCCTGTAATCCCAGCTACTCAGAAGGCTGAGGCAGGAAAATCTCTTGAACCCGGGAGATGGAGGCTGCAGTGAGCCGAGATCACGCCACTGTACTCCAACCTGAGCAACAGAGCAAGACTCCATCTCAAAAGAAAAAAAAATACCTTCAGGCTATGTGTATAATGTATAAAACATAAATGGACTTTATATTTAGACTTGGTCCCATACCCAAGATACCTCATTATGTATACGAAATATTGCAAAGTTGGGAAAAAACTTGAAATCCAAAGCACTTCTGGTCCCAAGCATTTCAGAAAAAGGATACTCCACCTGTATATTAACATGGGCTAGTATGTGGATATCAGAGGCAATCAGAGCAAGCAACAGAATGAGGGCTTATGATGGTTAAGTGGTGGAGGAAACCGTGCATGTGGATAAGATACTTGTGTTCCAGTTCTGAACCAAGTGATACCTGACGCTTACAGCATTGTTACGAGGGCATATATTTTGGACAATGTTTGGAGTGAAACTTGTAAACAACTTAATTTGTTGGGAATAATTATAAATGAATGTTAATCTGTTAATATGAATGGTTTGGATGTGATAAAAAGGAAAGAAAAATTAAAATTCCATTGCACTCTCTCTCTTTTTTTTTTTTTTTTGAGTCAGAGTCTCGCTCTGTTGCCCAGGCTGGAGTGGAGTGCAGTGGCACGATCTCAGCTCACTGCAACCTCCGCCTTCCAGGTTCAAGTGATTCTCCTGCCTCAGCTACTCAAGTAGCTGGAACTACAGATGCACACCACCATCCCTGGCTAACTTTTTTGTATTTTTAGTAGAGATGGGTTTCACCATGTTAGCCAGGATGGTCTCGATCTCCTGACCTCGTGATCTGCCTGCCTTGGCCTCCCAAAGTGGTGAGATTACAGGCGTAAGCCACCACACCTGGCCCCATTGCACTCTCAAATGAGGTTTTTTACCCCAAAGGCTTTTTGGGGAGGATTGGTGGTAGGTGGGAGCCTTCCCCTTTAAGGTCTTGAGTGGTGAGGGAAGGGTCTAGACTCTACGTGGGCAGGTTATTTGAATATGCAGGCATTCCCCTCTTGTGAGGGAGACAGGGAATTTGTGTGTGTGTGTTTTGGGGTGTGGAGGTGTGAAGCGATAGGGGGAGTGAGGATAGGGAACAAGGTAAAACTAGGAGGGATAGGGAACAAGATGAAATTAGGGTTCATTTCTGCCTAAGTGCTTGTTCTTCAGCGAGCTCACTATTGAACCTTCATTCTGAATTTTGATGTGCTTTAGTGCTTAGGTTTGTAAAATTGCTGACCCTCTCTTCCCTTCCCACCCCAGGAAGCAGGAAGACCAGATATTTCTGACCAATAAAAATTCTACTTCTGTACCAAAAAAATGTCCTAGCAAGGGGATTCTGAGAGTATTAGCACCTCAATGAAAGTGACAGACAGAGCAGGGCGATGGATCAGCTTGGGGTTGGCAGTTGCCTTCCTGGTTATTTACTTAATGAATGGTTTATTTCCTTAGCCACCTGTTTAACGGGCCTGGGATGGAGTTGTCAACTAACAAAGCCCCTGATGGACAGCTTCCCTGCTGTCCTGAGGCTGAGAAGATTTCTATCTGCAGACTCTTGCATAGACTCACTCTTGGCTGCTCTCCCTCCCTGGGGTCAAACAATGAGGTCTCAGTGGTGTATTCATAGTCAAAGCCACTTTATCCTCTGGAATCCAGAGTGTCCGCCACAGGGATGCTTTTGTAGGTGGCCCCTGTTCTCCCGCCTTCCCCCAACACATAGACACCTCTGGACGTAGGACCTGCTTTGCTAGAGTCTAGCTGCGCCCTCTCTAACTTCTCTTCTCCTCCCTCTTCCATTGATAAAAACAGATTTATCTCTCAGTCTTGCTTGTCATTCAGTGATAGCATCACTCATGTTGGTGAGACTCAGTAAGTGTTAGAATTAAATTCATCATCACAGTAACGCTGTGCATTAGGGAAGTCAAGATGCTTTCACTCTTACTCTATACATAAAGATCCTAGCTCTGGAATCTGCCGCAGGTTTTGAGAAATGAAGTATAAATTAAGAGGTCCCTCAAATTTCGTAAAATGGAACGGCACTGTGAAGCCTGGGCAATCAGCTGTGGGTGTCCTGGTGACAGCTCTAAGCTTGTAACTCAGGCTGATCTTAAAGGCACAAAGAGAAATAGATCAGCCTCAGTGTATTAACCTTGTTAACAAGTACCAGGCAGGAATGTGTTCAAGAGCTGCAGGGTTGTTCTGCCCTTAAATGTGGAAGGATCTCTTCAACAATCCATTTCCAGGAACAAAAGGGAAGGACAGCCTATAAGTTAAGATATTTAAGACGCAGAGCAATCATATACAACATGTAGACTCTGTTTGATTCCTAATTTGAATGGACTGACCAGGAAGTAATTAGACAAATATATGTGTGTGTGTATAAGTACATATATGTTTCTATAAAGGAATAAGAGTTAATTGTTTAGGTATGACAGTGTGACAATGAGATTATGGTTATGCTTTTTTTGTTTTTGTTTTTTTTTTTGAGACAAGCTCTTGCTCTGTTGCCCAGGCTGGAGTGCAGTGGCTCAATCACCGCTCATTGCAGCCTCAACTAACTCCAGGCTCAAGCAATCCTCCCACCTCAGGCTCCTGAGCAGTTGGGACTAAAGGCGTGTGCCATCATGCCCAGATAATTTTTATTGTTTTTTTGTAGAGATGGGGTCTTACTGTGCTGCCCAGGCTGGTCTCAAACTCCTGGGCTCAAGTGATCTGCCCACTTCAGCTTCCCAAAGTATTGGTATTAAAGGTGTGAACCACTACACCTGGCACAATGGTGCTTTTTTGTGTTTTTGAGACGGAGTTTCACTCTTGTTGCCCACGCTGGAGTGCAGCGGCACAATCTCGGCTCACTGCAACCTCCACTTCTGAGGTTCAAGTGTTTCTCCTGCCTCAGCCTCCCAAGTAGCTGAGATTATAGGCATGCGCCACCATGCCTGGCTACTTTTGTATTTTTAGTAGAGATGAGGTTTCACCATGTTGGCCGGGCTTGTTTTGAACCCCCCACCTCAGGTGATCCTCCCGCCTTGGCCTCCCAAAGTGCTGGGATTACAGGTGTGAGCCACCACGCCCGGCCGATAGATTTTGCTTTTTAAAAAGATGTCTTGGGAGGCCAAGGTGGGTGGATCACGAGGTCAAGATATCGAGACCATCCTGGTCAACATGGTGAAACCCCGTCTCTACTAAAAATGCAAAAATTCAGCTGGGCATGGTGGCGTGTGCCTGTAATCCCAGCTATTCAGGAGACTGAGGCAGGAGAATTGCCTGAACCCAGGAGGCGGAGGTTGCGGTGAGCCGAGATCACGCCATTGCACTCCAGCCTGGGTAACAAGAGCGAAACTCCGTCTCAAAAAAAAATAAAATAAATAAAATAAAATAAAAAAAAGATGTCATCGTCTAAAGATTACAGTTAGATATTTTTGAATCAAAGGCGGGGGGATCACGACGTCAAGAGATCGAGACCATCCTGGTCAACATGGTGAAACCCCGTCTCTACTAAAAATACAAAAAATCAGCTGGGCATGGTGGCGCGTGCCTGTAATCCCAGCTACTCAGGAGGCTGAGGCAGGAGAATTGCCTGAGCCCAGGTGGCGGAGGTTGCAGTGAGCCGAGATCGCGCCATTGCACTCCAGCCTGGGCAACAAGAGCAAAACTCCATCTCAAAAAAAAAAAAAAAAGACCTCTTATCTAAAACTAAATAAATAGATAAGGAAATATCCTCTTGAAGGAAGTAGGGAAGGAAGTAACTGAAGAGACATTGTGTTTGCTGTGTTTGACAGAGTCTGCAGAAGGCTACAGATGTGAAAGATGTGGAAAGGTATTTACCTACAAATATTACAGAGACAAGCACCTCAAATACACCCCCTGTGTGGACAAGGGCGATAGGAAATTTCCCTGTTCTCTCTGCAAACGATCCTTTGAGAAGCGGGACCGGCTGCGGATCCACATTCTTCATGTTCATGAGAAGCACCGGCCTCACAAGGTGAGTATTAGGAGGACACATGACCCGCCATCCCATTCTCTCTCCCTTCCCAAGCTCCTGAATGCGGGGAGGCCCTCACAGGTGCTAGCAGGGCTGTAGTGCCTGACCGACACCCTCTCTGAAGGAGGAGAGGATAGTATTACGGAACAGGCAGTCGGGAATAGGCAGGGCGATGCACACGTGTTAGGATGCTTGCACCAACAGAGGGAGGAACATGGAGGAAGGGGTCTCCATGGCCACCTAGACACGCGGATTATGAAAGATGCACAGAAGTGGCCTTGAGCCAAGTCTAGAAGGACAGATGGGGTGTCTGATTTATACTGGTGGCAGGGTTAGTTGGGCTGGGAAAAGGGTCAAGCTGTTCCAGGCAGGAAAGGGCCTGGCATGTGCACCTGGGAAACTGCACCTTGTCCCATATCTGTGCAGGTGTATTGACAGGTATAGGTGAGAAGGAAGCGAAGGCCTGGTCCTTCCAAAGAGCAGAAGGCTGGCCAGGCGTGGTGGTTCACACCTGTAATCCCAGCACTTTGGGAGTCCAAGGCAGGCGGATCACCTGAGATTGGGAGTTCAAGACCAGCCTGACTAACATGGAGAAACCCCATCTCTACTAAAAACACAAAA